TTTTACTTGCATCGAAATGCAAATACTTGGTGAAAAAAGGAGAATCCATTAACCAGCAGCAAAGTGCCAGCAGCAAAACTACAGACAAATAAATGTCTAAATTTGATTTTAATCTTTGTCACTTGTCAATCAGCCTTTTCATATTTTGGGCATGGCTTTATTCCATAAAAGAGGTTACAGGGTGCATTTTCTGTTAAGCTCAATTATGGTCTTTCCCTTGCTGTCATTACTTCCCACATCCACTGACTTTCTGTGGGCACAGGATGCTTAAAGAATATCTAATTCAAAAAAGTGGTGTCAGAGTTCTGAGTATCTAATGAATCATTGACTTTTTGGTTTTTAATTCCCTGTAATCCTGTAGGAAGGAAAGAAGTTAAATCATACATGTCTAGCAGATATAGCATCTCTCATTTGCTCAGAGAAGCTGTGGCTACCCCCATCACTGCAAGCTCTCAAGGTCAGGTTGGGCAGGACGTTGAGCACCCTGGTCTAGTGAAAACTGTTCCTGCCACAGCAGAACTTTTAAACCACATGTCATCCCAGAATACAAGGAAGAAGAGGAGAGGAAAGTCTAGGAAGAGTAAGGCTATAAGAGATCCATAGTTGACTTTTTAGGGCTCTAGATTCAGCCCAACTATACATTCAGCAATGTAAAAAAATCTACATTAATATTTTGAAAAAGAGAAACCTTCAAAATTCTCATTTAGTCTGTCAGGACCCAGGACATTCCTCTGCCCTGGGTGATTCAAGACCCTGGCAAGTGGCTCAGAGACCTTGGCACAGAGTCAAAAACCCCTGTGGTTTTGATTTTAGTCCATGGAGAAAATTACCATCTTTGTGTAAAGATGTAAAAGCCACAAGAGTTTGAGCAGAATCATAGTTAATTTGTCACAGGGTGAAAAAGTAGAATTTTGGGGTTTTAGAGTAGGGGTTCAAGAGGTAAGATGGAGGAATCTGGGTGTGCCCTGTCCTTCTTCTCCTTCTTCTTTTCCTCCATCTTCTGTTGTGATGGTGACACTTCTTGATTGATTTAGAGTAGAGACAGACTGTCTAACATAGGTGATAGGATTGGAAAATTATTGCAGATAAGGTACATGTAGTTCTTATATAGTATAAAAAGTTAACACCACCCCAAGGGCAGGGGTTGTGCCACAACCTGACCTGCTGGACAAATCTCAGCAGGTCAGAGAAAGAATGCAACAGATAAGAAAAAATAAATAACCTTGAAAAGCAGAACCGATGAATCTCGACTTCTTCTTCGGTCGCGGGGCTGGGAAGAAGAGACTTTCTAACACTTCGGGGTCATCTCAACCACAGAAACCTGAGATGTCACAATCTTAAAATTTACCATTTTAAGATATTGAATTACCTATTCCAATAACATAATCCTAAATTATTGATGACCATGTGTCTTTCTACTCACTTACACAAAACATTTGAAATAATTATACTGAGACCTCAAAAACCAGAAGAATGCTTTTCTCCTTCATACTGGCTCCTTGCATAGTGATATTTTACATAAACTATACATAAACTAGATTTGGAAAAATCTAGGAATATCTGTGCTCACCTCAGCGTCTGAGACCCATTGGGGCCACCAGCCAAGCTGACCTAGCTTGCCAAAATTGAAGCCTCACTTAGATTAAAACCAGAGTGTAAGTAAAGCTCTAAAATACAAGTTGTGGCTGTTGTGCTGACATGAAGCAATTAATTTGCAGTGGCAACAAGTGACTGTGGTTCTTTTCACTTTCTATATGTTACACACATAACATTTTAAAAGCTCAAGTAATGAAAAGGGAGGTCACCCATGTGTTATTTTTAAAACTTGATCACCACAACAGTCAGGTCATGGGCACGTCTGATTAAGCCTTCAACGAAACTCTGAAGTTTCTCATCACCTTCCAGAATGAAACCTCAAATACCCTCCAGCTTCTCAGTTGTTTTGAAAAGTTTAAATGGAATTCAGTCTGATTCAGTAGCTCTGTATAATCTGAGTGAAGAGTCAAGGTTTTTCTATCATACAAATATAGCTGTAAATTGCACATCAATTCTGAAAGAAATCTTCCTTTTTAAAATCATCAGTAAGTCTAATTTCTTAAGGAAGGCAACAGGAATAAAGATAATGGAATTTTGACAGTATGATAACTTTCTAAGTAGTAGTAAATTAATGAAAAATGTAGTTTGATTGTGTTGAAATCCAGCAAATCAGAAAATTGAATGAAACATGAAGGAACAGGAATTCCTGCAGAATTTAAAGAGAAAACAATTTAGCAAAATGATCATTATTTGTGATCAAATTTACCTTATCAGCATACTTTACTTAATACTGTCTCCCAGCTAGGAATTGCATTTCTTTTTCCCTGACAGAGTCTTTGTAAAAATATTCTATGCCCCAGCATTTGGATTTACAATCAAAGCCAGGAGGCAAAGAAGGCTGCATTGAAATGCATTAAATTATTTTATAGGCTTTAATATGGAAAATATCTATCATTAGGCCTTCCTAATTAACCAGAGTGAAGCAACCAAGGTAATAAAACTAGGGAGAAAGCTGCATTTAACATCTTATACTTGTATCTATAATAGTGGTTTTATCCTTCGTATCCCTGATCATTTTCCATTTCTAGCTGATGCCAGTTTAAGCGCAAAACTTGTAACAGTGAATTACATGTTTGGGGTTTTATTCCAGAAACAAAGTCTATTTAGAAGCAAATGTTAAAAATATCAATCTTTCAGGATACTGAATCTTATGCATTACACTACTCTAAGTAGTGCATAGCAGGTAGTGCATAGCAGTGTACAGTGACATCCCAAATCCAGTTTTTCCAGCCCTGTTCATTATCACTACTAATAAATCTTTTTTTTTTTCTGCATTTAGTACAATTATCTAGAATATTCCCATATAGCTCATACTTTACATGATCTCTTCCCATAATTCTATTTATCCTCATTTCTCTTTTTATAACTACAATAAATATTTTTAAGTGTTCATTGAGTTTTCTGAAGAATTGCCTGAAAAAAATATAAGCAAAACATTGCAGAAGTAAAAAATATTAATCTGTTTAAAAAACTGGCATTGGTAATATTTCTGATATAGTTGTATTTAAGAGCAAAAAAAAGTATCGTAGCTTATTTGTTTTCCTTGCATTTCCAGGGGTGCTCATGTGTGGATTTTCTGAAGTAAAATGACAAATATCATGTGCTTTTTTAATTAATTTTTCAATGCTAATATTCTTTAGTACAATTAATTAATTAATAAATTATAAAAGTAGGGGATATATACATAGTGAAAATAGTCATCATGTAGTATCAAGTGTTACGATGAGACATTGTTCTGCAAATCTAAGAAGAAAAAAAAAACATTCTGGAGAATATATGTTGAAATGCTCTCCCAAGTGTATACATATTTATGAAAAAACAGCACACAGTGGCAACCACAACATATTCTCATCATTTTCTCTCCTGAGAGATAAGACCCCAGAGAGATGCAAATGGGGATTTCCTATGATTTATGTTCATGGCTTCAAGAAAAGCTTTTTTTCTCAATGGCCAAATGTAGTTGTCAAAGGAAGGTAAAATCACACCACAGCTAACACCCCAAATAAGTTGTAAAATGAAGGGTAAGGATGTTCTAAGTGATGTAAAATTGTGTGCCATAGAAATTTGAACACCACATTTTCCTATTTTAGAAAGCTCAGCTTTTTTCATGGTTCTTCAAAACCAAAAGGCATATTATAGTAGAAATGTGAGCTAGAATCCCACAGAGATGATGAGAAAAACTTTTAAAACTGTAGGAAGTCCAAGGAGACTATTAATAAATAATGGGGTTTTATAATTCCTGAGACACCAAAATAAAATAATTGCCCTGTGAGCAAAACTTCTCAAACAATAGCAGCAGGCCAAGTCAGAGAACTTTCCTGTGACTGGATGAGCAATGCTCCTCTAAATGTCTTCCTGGTAGGAGTCTAAAGTGGTTTTTTAATTAAAAAAAAACCCAAACAAACAATCCCAAAGAAAACAAAAACAAAAAACCACCCTAAACTAAACAAAACAAAACAAAACAACCTAGGAAATCAGACGAAACAAAAAAAAAAAACCCAAAAAACAAAAAACAAAAACAAAAAAAACCAGAACAAAACAAAACAAAACAAAAAAAAAAAAACAAAAAAAAACCACAAAAAAAACCAACACCCAAAAACCAAAAAAAACCTCATACCAACCAAAAAAAATCCCAAAACACCTACACCAAAACTTGTAACTAAAACTTTAAGAATCACTTGCAATAGGTGTCCTAATGAGAAAGAAAAAAAATATATATAGTGTTAGTCCATTCCACAAGAAAATATAAATGAAAGCACTGCTAAGAAACTCTCATTTGATCTCAGTTAATAGTTATTTCTGCCAAAGCACAAACATACAGTCATATTTTTCTATTTGCCCTAACAACAATAGAAGGACATAAAAATTTTCAGACATTCTGTAACAATAGGGTGTAGAATATCTCAGAGTCTAAATTATTTCAATCTAGCACTCCAATCAAATTCTACTTTTAAATAAGTAAAAGCGCAAATGGAGATAGAAATTCTTTGCTGATGTATTTCAGTCTCTTGTCATTGCTGTTTTATCAAGAAAATATGAGGGAGAAAAAGGAAAAAAATAATTTTCTGATTCCTTCTTACTTTTTACTGTCTGCCAACCATATGTCTCTCTGCTGAAGTAATAAAAATAGATTGTTATAAATGTAGGATATAGTAAGAGCAAAGGAAAAAAGGTTAGACTAATTTTTTTCAAGTTTCAGAAGGCCTTAAAATTACATCAAAAGAAGACTCATATTCTGAGGGAACTGGTTTATTTTACTTCATATTGCAGCTCAGCTCTTAGACAATTAAATTATCTGCAAACAGTCCACTGAATAAAATAAACAGCAGATAGGGTGTCTGAACTTAATGTTGATTAAAGTAGGAAAAAATATTTCAAGAAAAAGAAACAAAATTTTAACTTACCAGCTTGACCAAGTGTATACTCTTGGTATCTTGTTCCTATTCTGTTTGTGGCTGTACAATTATACCGTCCAAAATCACTATCAGATGTGGGAGCAATCTTTAAAATGAATAGACTTTGTAAATATTAGTTGCTTATTAAATATATATTTTTTTAAATCAGAAATTCAAGTATTTTCTCTTTAACCAATATGCAGATATGTTCTTACTTCAACATATATAGTATATTCTTCAAACATAGACCTAAATACATATTTTTTTCATGTTTGACTCCCCCTTCTTCAAATGAAGAAATCTGATAATGGAAAATAGTGATATTGTTCATCTTTAAATTTTACCTTTAAACAATAATTTAAAAACCCCAACCAAACAAAAACCCCCAAAAATAATCAACTTTTTTGTAGACACCAAGTGCCTATGAAGCAGTCATTTTAATTTTCAGTCTTTACTTGGTATTTTAGTTTTATATCTATTTATAGATTTTTTTTACTTCCAATAAATGCAGATTACATTTTTGTTGGGTGTAGTTGGAAAACTGAGCATAAGCCATTCAAATAAGATTTATTTTGTAATTACTCATAAGAAATGTGTACATAGATCAGTTCATATACAGTTGTTTTGATGTTTTGTTCCTTTTCTAAGACTGTTACTCATTAAATTGTACGTTTTAGCCTTAAGTACACTCTACACTACTCACAGTGCTGCCAAACTGAGGACAAAATTATGTTCTGCCACCACACTGATTTCCATTTGAATTCTTACCTCTAGAATCAGCTTTCTTCCTGTACTGTAGGTCTTCAAATGAGTTGTATTTTTTACAGGTAAAACTAATTTTCCTCTTTTCCACTGAACTGAGGCAGATGGATTTGCTAGCACTTCACAGCTTATATTGATGGGATTGCCTTCCCAAGAGTAATACATGGTTTGATTTGACATGAACGTTGGAGCATCTGGAAAAAGGAAGTAGTGCAAAGTTTATTAACCAGTTTAGTAAAACAAGCTGTATATCCATATCCAAGCCTTCATGTTCAATGAAAAATTTCACCTGTTGTGTCAGTTTACTACAGAATATGGAAGTATTAGTATTCAACCATGAGTTTGTTGGGCTTTTATCTTGGTAAGTTTCTCCTCTCCTAAATGGTTTCAGCTGAACTTGGGAAAGAGAATACCTGTCAAATATATTTAACTTTAGGCAATCACAGGCCTTTGAAAGACACTCTCTCAGAAATGAGGAGGAGCGTTTCATCTTGAGGTTGACAAATTCTTCAGCCAGACCCTCACATGAAAAAATGAGGTTACCTAAAAACACCTGTCTGCTCATGTGCTGATTTTATAGTGTCTTCTTTAGCTATGCAGAAATTACAATCACTCCTCAAATTTTCTTTTGCTATGGCTTCATTCATTTCTGGCTGGAATTTTATTATACTTTAGGAAATCTTTTAAAAGAGAGATGTTTATTTGTGGAAATAAAACTTCAAAAAATAGCAAAGGAATACCAAAAAATATTACAATGTATTCTACCTAGTGCAAAAAATATATTGTGTGTACATTATTTAGGACAATCTTTCTATCCGTTCCTCATACAATTATCAAGGTACAGCCAAGGAAAAAGTTGGTGTGTTTTTCTTACAAACCTGACTTGTTTGTAAGAAATATCTGCCTTAAACATATACCAAACACTGAGTCTGACACAGAGGAAATTGTTGGTTTGCAAAGTAACTGTGATCTTCAGACCACAGTGCCACAAAGTGACAAGACTTATTTCTTTATTCACTGTTTCTCTGGAAAGCAGGAAGTTTAGTGATCTCTATAAAATGAAAGGGAGTAGCCTTTCCCCTCTTCTTCTTATGTCGTGGGTGAATAGTGCATTTTTTCTATCAAATATTGATTTGTGTTATTTCCTAATTTCATCGTTACTATCTTTTAACAGTATTAAAAAAATTCTTTATTCACAGAAGCTTCCTTAATGCTTTAATTCCAAAAGAGAATTATCAGTTATAGCTGTTGCAATGGTATCTCTTTTTAATATCTAAGATACATACATGTTTTCATATGTGTCTCTGGAAAATCTATTCTAGTCCTCTCACACACAGTTTAGTTTTAGGCAAGAAAGTTCCTAATAGGCATATCAGAGACGAGAACTGAGCATCTTTAGTATGAAATAAAATTTAACTTCAGGAATGGTTAAGAACAACTGGGTTTTTTTCTTCTTCTTTTTTTTCCTGAAGTGCACATTTTCAACTTCTTCCTGTTTGCCTCTGTCAAAAAGCATAATTTTTTGATGACATATACTGCTGCTGCTGCATCTAGGCATACAGACTTTGAGCAAAAATAACTGTTATCAGTGGAAATTTTAAAGCACAGATCAAAGCTGCTACATTGCTCAAGGACAGCAGCATTTCCTTTAATAACTGTTCAGCCCTTATTTTTGTAGAAAAACAAGCATTTTCATCTAAATAAGTAAAGCTTGCCTGGCTATGAATTTATTTACGAGACACAGGAGTTTATCTTTCTGCTCCAAGAGATTTAATAAGTAATTCTAGTGATCCTGTTTTTCACAGACCTTTAAATACCCCATATTTCAGCAGCTAAACAGTTTAATGCAAAGAACAGACTATCAAAGAGTCGTCAGAGTGTACTAGAGAATGTGAAGAAAAATGCAGACTGCATAAGCGTGTTTTATGGTTAGCTATGGTCAAGAATCTCAGAATACCAAGGCTCAGAGCCTTGGCTTTTCCTCTGGAAATGAATTTCATGGTGGGAATCACTTGTAGGAAAACTGTAGAAACTTATTTCTGCATGTTCAATAGATGGATCAATAGCATGTTCAACAAATAGATTGGAAATCTCATAAGAGTCTTCGTGAGGTTATTTCACAAATTTTATGTAAGCACTGTCTTCCAGTGTGCAATTTCTCACAATTTCACTCCATTTATGAACACTGGCATGAATGTTGAAGATTAAAAGATACTCTGAATCTGAGAAATCCTCCTTCCTAGACAACATTATGTGGTTTGATGCTCAATAAACATGTGGCAAACTCATATCCTATTTTAAGACTTACAAGTGAAAAAGAAGCATACACTTCTATAAGGCAGATAAAAGCATTTAAGAGAATAGGGACTTCCAATTAAGAGAATAGGGACTTCTCTCTTCTAATGATAGATTTTAGATGCCCAATGTATATATTTTTTGATATTTTAAAAGTATAGGTGAATTATGGACTTCCATCTTTACAAAGCTACAGGCATTAGCAGTCATAAACACAAAAAACCACAAATAGGACTAAAAGTCTGTCAAATAAAGATATATCTCAAAATAAACAACTCACAATTGTAAAGCATTCCCCTCAAAAAAGAGCTTTGTAATGTCCCTCTCAAAAATCTATGTAAAAATGCTTTGCAGCCATTTCCTCAGCAGTCAAGAGCTCCAATATACAAAAAGAAGAGGACTGTACTAATGACTTGAAAGAGAAAGATTATCTTAAGACAGATGATTTTTGATTTCCCAGTCAGGAACAGATTAAGATGCCTGGAGTGATGACATTTTACAAAAAGAATATAATTCTGGAAATAATTTTCTTTTTACAGTACAAATAAAAAATAATTTACATTTCTTATGAAACCAAAAAACTGAATTGGAAGGGAATAATTTGTGTATAAAGATAACTTGTTTTTTCTTGTATGCTCTTCATCACTAAATGCTGTTTAGTATGCTTTAATGGTTACAGAATAAGTATTTATCAAACATAAATACACATTATGTTTAATATAAAAGAATCACGAATAATAGCAAACCTAAAAGCTAAGTCTTTGAAAATATGTTTGACTATATTATATGTCTACAAAACCTGATTCCATCAGTTGTATAATATAACAAACAAATTAACATTAATAACCAGAATATTTATCACAAAGGTCTATCAATTGAAAATGAAGTAAAACCAAGTAGAAATGAGGAGGTGGTTCTATGTAAGGATCTTTAAATGCAATATATTTATTGTTTTAAAAAAATAAAAGATTCAATGGAAATCAGTTAGAAAATTAGAACCATAAAAAATAATAATGCGCTCTGCTTAGCTTCTGTGTAACTGAGAATTAATTTACACCTGACAAAATTCAATGCAGGGTGCAAATGAACTGTTCCTTTTAAGCTTTTTTACATAAAGTAAAAAGTTAAGATGACATACTAGAGTTCTGAACAGATAAGTAGAAGTAGGAGCTTGAATACACTCCATTAAAAAAGAAAAATCAACCCTGATGATATTTCTTATATCTGACCTTTTAGCACTTTACTGAAAGCAAAAAGTAAAATCCCTCAGAGCTGAAAAAAATTTCAAAATTTACCATTGATATGATTTAATAGATGCACACGATATCATAGAATATCTCAGGTTGGAAAGGACCTTAAAGATCACCCAGTTCCAATCCCCTCTGCCATGAGCAAGGACACCTCCCACCAGGCTGCTCAGAGCCCCACCCAGCCTGGCCTTGAACACTTCCAGGGATGGAGCAGCCAAAGATTATCTGGGCAATGTGCCAGGGCCTCGCCACTCTCATAACTAAAAAGAGTTCTCCCTAAAATCTAATTTCTGATAACTCTTCCAGTTTAAAACCATTGTCCTTATGCTATCACTACAGATAAAGTCTCTCTTTTGCACATGGAAAGGCTGCAAGTGTCTCCTTAAAGCCTTCTCTTCTCCAGGCTTATCAACATCAACCCTCCCAGGCTGTCTCCATAGCTGAGCTGCTCCAGCACTCTGATCACCTTCATGGCCCTCACCTAGACCTGCTCCAGCAAGTCCATGTCTTTCTTGTATTTGGTGTCCCAGAGCTGGATGCAGCACTGCAGGTGGGGGTCTCACAAACGTTGGGTAGAGGGGTAGAATCACTCCTCTTGACCTGCTGGCCACGGGGCTCTGGATGCAGCCAGGATGTGGTAAAGTCCATAAGGTTTTAAGGTTCAACTATGAAAGACTGAATATTGTTTTGGAGAGATTAGGCAATCCAAATGAAAAAGATACCTTGAAAGAAAAAAGACTATATCACAAAGATATAAAACTAAACCAAGCTATTCTATGGGTGTAGGATTCTGTAGGAAATTATAAATTTAGAATGGCATTTTAGAGTAGTTAATGTTATGGTACCAGCATCAGCTGAACTCAAGCTGATCATTTTGCCAAGCAGGAAAGAAACCAACAGGTTGGCACTCCAGTTAGAATGAGTCCTGGATAACCTGTGTAAGAAAATTATTTAAGAGAAGCAAATTCTGACCTGAAAGCTGTCTCTAGCATTTATATATCCGTGTTAGTTATAATGTCCAAGAACAGTGATTCAAGAACAGACTAATACATCACCTGCCTTGTCTAGAAAGTAATTAAATTAAGGATGACAAAGATCCACCTCTGGTGTGTGTTTGGTGTCATACACAAAATTAGATACAGCAAATTACCTGATTCAGTACATGTGTCCAGACAACTATAATGGAAGACTGGTGTGCAGAATCAGATTTGCACTTCTTAATTTAAGAACATAGGTTTTCAAAATGTGGCTCTTTGTTCCCCTGGAACATGTAATAAAAATATGTGACAGATTGTCAGGTCTAAGACTCTGGGACATTTCCTACAGTATATTATTGGAAGCCTTGCTCTAAAATGATTAATGTTGGCATAAGTTTCCCATCATCAAGGACTTTAATAAACCGCATCCTCTGGCAAATCTAGTACTGTCCTTGCCATCGATTCTGTAAAAGTGCCTCAATTTTTTGTAACTCTGCCACAATTTAGTTAACAGCCATCTATCTTTCTCTTGCACTTTCTCCCTCATACCTTTTTCAATAGTTAATATTTTAAAATTAATAGCTCTTCCTTGGATACAAAGTAGAAGAACCTCCACAGACAAGTACAATAACTGTCACATATTCATTTGCAAGAAGAAATTATATTAGAAAG